GAGAGAGAGAGAGAGAGAGAGAGAGAGAGAGAGAGAGAGAGAGAGAGAGAGAGAGAGAGAGAGGAGTGACTTTCATTCCCATCCTGTGCAGTTCTGTGAATGCGTACAGTAATACCTTTGAAGTATTGGAGCCGTTGGATGAGATCTGAGAAGTAGGCACCCAGGGGCTTGCAGGAGGGGTAGGACTTGGCCATCCATGATTTCGGCACATGACTGTTGAATATTGACCCAGCCAAGGATTCAAATTCCTCAGACATCAGGAATTCCCCTTTGACTGCCCGGACCATGTCGGTCAAGGACTGTCGAACAACCGCCAACAGTCGGTTGTACCGCACAAGTTCCTGACACATCACCACATTGGTGCACTCCAAGTACCGCACTGGATATTTCCTCTCAGCAAGATCCGTGTCAAAGTCTTCTGGGAGCCTTGAAAGCAATTCTGTCCAAAAGAAAAAGAAAAACAATCATTTTTGAAAGTTTGAAACACCAATTCAAACCAAAACCAGAATGTTACAGCGATTGGACATTGTGCACAAAGTTCACAACAAGGCCATTTCCGAAGATGGTTGTTTCGGGTATTGGCCGAAACATGTTGGAAGAAGCAAGAGCGGGGAGGTAGCCAACTAGTCGTGCATTGTTGACATCCTTGCATCGTTGACATCCTTGCATTGTTGTTCTTTGGTGCTGAATTTGTATGATTGTATTGTTTGCTAAGGTGTTTCTTCTTCTTTCAGCATGGTGTGTGCTCTGTCATGTTTTTTCACCCTATTATCTTTCTTTTTTTTTTTTTCTTTTTCTTTCTTTTTTCTTTTTAAACAGAACCTTAGGGCTCTGGCTCCTTTTCCATTCTGGGGAGCATCAGTCCGGTTCCTTTTCCACCGGTAAGTCAGAAGGGATTACAATGAATACTCACTCAACGCTCCTCCCCCTTATGGTGTGGAGGCCCAAAGGACGGCATTGATTACTTCCCGAAAGAAAGTATGTACCACCCTTCACCCCTGCCTAAGTTAGCCTGTTCTACTGGGATTCTACTCTTGTCTTGAAACTTGGTTTTTCTACTTTGTCCCCTTGGGCCTCTACCGTCCTGTTCCTCTCAGCTCCTAGGCTGTCAGATCTTTCAAAACTCTGTGGAACTGTTGGTTAGGCCTTTTCCTCTAATCTTCCGACCTCTAAGCCTTATCTACTTGTGTTACTGCCTCGCTGGATAGTGGAGTCATTTTGGGAACTATTTGTGGGGTGGTCATTGGTGCTGTTTTAACTGGATTGAGAAGAGAATGTGTGAGGTGTAGGTGAAGGTTCTGAGGGTGGCTGGCTGATGTGTCCGGCAGGGTGACGCTTGGGATTTGAGTGGTTTGTGTGGATGGAATGGGGTTAGGTGTGTGAAGGAGGGAATAATGGGTATGAGGGATTTGAGGGGAGAATGGAAAGTTCAGGTTCAGCTCTTTTTTCCCTGTTGGGCAGGGCTGGGCCGGCGACCGGCCGGTCGGGCTGACCCGGTCCAACCGGGTCCGGACCGGCCCAGGGGGGGTCAACCGGCAAACCGGATGGCCCAAAAAAA